CTCTTTACGAGTGCAAAACACACACTAGTTCGAAACAGAATCGTAAATTACCATAACTACTGTTCGCTCAACTCCGCTGGCTTTTCTCGCCAAACTTATATACTAACAAAGAGGCGGCTCTCGATCACACTCGAGCTTCCCCAATAATTCGAGAAACTCAGTCACGCATGCTCTTAGGGTCACGTGACTTCCGCTGTCGTAACACTACTTTAACAAAATGAATTAATCTCTCTATAATAAAATGCATTAGTAACACCACTTTAACAAAATAAATTAGTTACGCTACTTTACCAAACTGAATTTGTCACGCTTCTTTTAGAAAATTAATTAGTCACTCTTTAATAAAACGAATTAGTTACGCTTCTTTAACAAAATGAATTAGTCACTCTTTAATAAAATGAATTAGTCACTCTTCTTTAACAAAATGAATTAGTCACTCTTTAATAAAATGAATTAGTCACTCTTTTTTAACAAAATGAATTAGTCACTCTTTAACAAAATGAATTAGTTACGCTTCTTTTAGAAAATGAATTAGTCACTCTTTAACAAAATGAATTAGTTACGCTTCTTTTAGAAAATGAATTAGTCACTCTTTAATAAAATGAATTAGTCACTCTTTTTTAACAAAATGAATTAGTCACTCTTTAACAAAATGAATTAGTTACGCTTCTTTTAGAAAATGAATTAGTCACTCTTTAACAAAATGAATTAGTTACGCTTCTTTTATAAAATGAATTAGTCACTCTTTAATAAAACGAATTAGTTACGCTTCTTTAATAAAATGAATTACTCACTGTTTAATAAAACAAATTAGTTACGCTTCGTTAACAAAATGAATTAGTCACTATTTAATAAAACGAATTAGTTACGCTTCTTTAACAAAATGGGTTAGTCACGCTTCTTTAACAAAATGAATTAATTACGCTTCTTTTAGAAAATGAATTAGTCACTCTTTAACAAAATGAATTAGTCACGCTTTTTTAACAAAATGAATTAGTCACTGTTTAATAAAACTAATTAGTTACGCTTCTAAAAATTGAATTAGTCACACTTTGATAAAACTAATTAGTTACGCTTCTTTAACAAAACGAATTAGTTACGCTACTTTAACAAAATGAATTAGTCACGCTTCTTTAAGAAACCGAATTAGTCAATCTTTTTAACAAAATGAACGTGTTAAAAAGCAGTCATAACTTAGATGAACCATGTGCTGCTACTTTTCAACTTGCGAGGCATTCGACATTAAAATATTGGATTAGTACTAGCTGCGATGTAGATTGGCTAACGAAAACCGTGAAAAAAAATATTAAGTTCTGAATATCTGTAAGACGCTCAAGAGTATCTGTAAGTAAGCTTCATAAAACGTGTTACAAGTGATAAATCTACATAAAACTGACGTGGAAAAAATTATTTGATTTCAGGCTCTTCGTTTCAAACTAAAGTAAATAAGAATCATGATGTGAATACTTATCCTGTCCCTGTATGTGTGTATGTGTCCCCTTTTTAACAAAGATAAACGGAGATAATATTCCTTGAAAAAAAGTAATGTAGAATAACTTTCACTTGAAAAAAAAAATTAAGATATTAATAAGATTATTTGTATTTACGGCATTATTTGAAGTGAGGATAGTAAACTACATGCAGTCCAATAGTCCTAACAGACATCACTACGACTGTTTGATAGTAAACTACACGCAGTCCAATAGTCCTAACAGACATCACTACGACTGTTTGCGTCTACTGCACTGTTTGAAACAGAGTAAAAGAGTACACACAGACCACTAATCCTAATGGATATCACTAGGACTGTTTGTATCTACTACACTGTTTGAAATAGAGTAGTATACTAGACGCAGCCCACCAGTCCTATCAAATATCACTAGAACTGTTTGTGGCTACTGCGCTATTTGGAATAGGGTAATAGACTACACGTAGCCCACTAGTCCTAACAGATATCACTAACTGTTTGTGGCTACTGCGCTGCTTGAAATAAGATAGAAAACTGCATACAGTCCAGTAATTCTAATATACACGAATCAGTTAGGATTGTCTTCTAAAAATATAACAAAAATGTTTTTGACATACGAACAATTTTTAAGGACACATTCTTTGTTTTCTTATCCAATCCCAAATATCCGGGACCTTGAGGCAGGCAAAAATCGCGTATTTAGAGTAGAGTAAATAATATACAGAGAAGATGAACGGCTACTTTATGCAAGTTCAAGAGTGACATCAAAAAATGTAATACCGAGAGGAAGGATCACAGTGAAACGTGAGAGAATGACGAACTAGAAAATAAAAGAAGTTATAACAATATCTTCCACCACAAGTCCTCCGAGACCATCTTAACAGTGGTTGGGTTACATTAATAGAAAACAAGAAAAACGTGGCCAATGATTTAATATGAAGAATACCCCGAGTGATAAATCTCAGAGAATAGCTAACACTTTTACAATAAGAAATAGTACAAAGTAGCTATATAATGGTCTATATGCACTTTGTCCTCCACAGAGCGACATAATGGTCTATCTGCACTTTGTCCTCCACAGGTAATCGAACAGAGCAACATAATGGTCTATATGCACTTTGTCCTCCACAGGTAATCGAACAGAGCGACATAGTGGTCTATCTGCAGTTTTTTTTCTGTAATATTACGTTTTCCGCCGGTATTAGTGTTGATATCTGCGAACTAAACGGCAGTTATGCGGCATATGGCCAAATGGACCAGGTCAGAGACGCCTAAAGCTTGAACCTAGCCACAGGTCAGAGACGCCTAAAGCTTGAACCTAGCCACAGGTCAGAGACGCCTAAGGCTTGAACCTAGCCACAGGTCAGAGACGCCTAAGGCTTGAACCTAGCCACAGGTCAGAGACGCCTAAG